GCAGTATGCAGAACTCCTTCTCCAAGGACAGACACTCAGGCCTGGCCGTGGCAGAGAAGCACATGGGCACAAGGGTACTGCTGTGCATCAGGAATGAACCAGCAGAACAACTGCCAGGAACGCGAATCCGTGGAGGCAGATGCAAGGCAGGATCCAGCTTTGCCTGAGAAATGTGCCCCAGTTCAGGGTCCTACAGCAAAGTATCGTTACCTACTGTTACCTCTCCCCGGCCACTGTGGGCAGGACACAGGAAGCTGCCGATTTCCCTACCTCTGCCTGATTAACGGGAGGGGAAAGGAAGCCGCAAACCCAAGATCAAGCAGCAAAAGCAATGGACTGAGCCGGTATTATTTCCTAAGAGACGCACAGACTTCGAGGCCAAAGGGACCATCATGATCACCTCATCTACCCTCCTGCGCATCGCAGACCCCAGACCCTCCCGGCCCCACTCCCGCAATCGATCCCCAACCTCTGGCTGAGCTACGCACGCCCTCAACTCCCGGTTCAAAGATGTCGAGATCCAGAGGAGCCACCGGGTGCGCGAGTTTAAATCGGCCTGTGCCACAATAGAAGGTGAACCTGCCCTCCCCCAGGGTCTGTGCCAATGGGATCCAGGGGGAAAGTCCTTCCTGAGGCCAAACACAGGGAGCAGTCAGCCCCTGGGCATGCAGACGAGACCCACCCGCCAAACACCCAGGAAAGCATTCAGTTTCCTCCCCCAGATAGTGTCCCCTCCCTGGCTGTGGGGGATTTTTGCTACTGGCCATCACTGATGGATCACAGGCTGTGCAAAGCCCGCTACGTCTTCTGTGAAGGGCGATTTGTGACGGAGGGGCTGGGCTGGTACCGAGGAGAGCTGGGCTCCAGTCCCACCTCCCTCACCAACATTAAATCGCATGCCCACGCTCAGTGTCGCTGCCCAGCGGTGCCCTGCGGCCAGCTCCGTGGGCCCGGGAGACGCCCAGAACCAGCACGAAACCTTCCGTGGATGGCCACACGTCCACACGCCACGACATGCCCAGGTGACGTGCCAGCGGGGACAAATTCCCCTTGTGGAGCAATCTACAAAGGCCTGTTGTGTTCAGGAGATGAGCCGGCAACCATGGTTTGGACAAAACATTTTTTGCCCCAGATGGCAGCTTTGGGGGGGCCGACGCATTCGGCCAATTGGCCGCATTGGTTTGACCGACCGCTGCCCCGCCTCTCGCAACACAAACCAAACCGAGAAACGCTCACGATGGTCGGCGTGACTTTGTGGAGACAAACCCTTTCCATTCTGGGACTGGAAGTAACTTTTCCCTTCAAACTGTTTCAGTTTTAAAATGGTATAAACCCCTGAGGCACAAGACAGACCCTCTCATGCCGCCAGAGACGACACACTTCGGGGGCTCACCCAAACTTGACGACACTTTTCCTTTTGGTGAAGGTTCCAGAAATGATGTTTCAGTTTGGACACTGAAAATCCGATATTCCCTCCCCCCAGCGTGCACCTCAGCCCCGGCCACTCCCCGCCCAGCACCCTCCCAAAGTGCCTCTGGCGTGAACAGCGGGGCTGGCTGAGGGGAGACTCACTGCCCTTCAGTTAGACGAGAGCATGATGTGTTCCAGCCGACGCCCTTGTTACTGCGTTCGCTGCTCTCCACACGTCTCCCGCCTGGCTCCCGTTGGGGCGGGCAGTCATCGTGTGAGCGTCAGTCCTCCCGCTAACCTTGGCGGCTTCTCCCCTCCATCCGACAGCCTGCTTCCCACTGCGCACGGCCGAGCTTCCGGGTGCAAAACACACAGTGCGTGGGGCTGACAGGGAATCCTTCTGCCGAGTCCGGAATCGCCTCCCTTCAAGGAGGCTGGTGATATTTGCGAACAGGCGGGAAAAACGCCACCGGAGAGGGACTGGCAAGGTGACCCCGAGATCCCAGGCAGCGGGGGGAGCTGCGGACCCTCTCTCCTGGAGGATGGCACAACAGGTCCTACCCTTGGAGCCTTTTAAAATCGGAGTTCGGGCAGGGCTGCCCTCCCTCTTCCAAACTCCCCCGCTCCCTCGCAGCCTTACTTTGGCCTCACTTCAGTTTCCCACCACGGAGACACGTTCTCAGCACTGGGCAGGCTGCGAGGAACACTCGTGACTTGGTGGCCAAGGCTCTTGGCTTTCCACAAGCCCAGCCATAGAATGGACGAGAACGGGGAGAAGGAAGTGGCAGAGGGACGAGAGGCCCCTCGTATTTAACCAGAACACAGAGCTATTTAGAGAACGGTACAAACGTTTGCTTAAAGATTTGCAGGTCCCAATGATGACGAGCTCGTCGAGCTTGTGAGGATTTTCAGGGGGAAGCCCAGAAGATCAAAGTCCATGGAAACTCGTTTTTCGATGTCGCTGGACTTTCCCAGCCCCGTCTGGCTCTTTGCTCCAGCTCTCCCGTTTCCTCCTCGCAGTCTCTCTTCTCAATGCAGCATCACTCCACACCTACCCCCTGGTCGCCTCCTTCACCCCTCCCCTCGCCTGCTGGCCACGCTCATCCCCTTCTCCTCACCCCGCTGCCCATGCAGCCAAGCCCCACCCGCCGGAAGAAAAACCCCGTGGAACTAATCAGAAGGCTATTAATCTGTGTTTGCACAGGGCCTGGAACAATGGAGCCGGATCTCAGCCAGCTGCCAAGCACCACCGTAGTCCCCACGAAGAACAATAAAAGCCGTGACATCGTAACCTAACTTCCTAAGCAGAGATATAACGTAACCCCGCCGGAGCGCCCTGCATGCCTGGACTCCCTCAGTCACAACACACAGGCACTTCTCCAGGAGAGGGATTCGAACCCGAGCCCCCCAGCCACTGGCTCGGCAGCGTGAGCCCCGGGAGAGAGGCCCGGATGCGTCACAAGCTGCATTCCCCAGGCAAAATTACTCTGAGCCCACAGGACCCCCCACCTCCTCCCCCAGGCCGCTTGAGTTTGGCTCTGGGCCTTGCTCTGAAGGTGATTCACGACAACGTTTAGCCCGGCTGTCCCCACGACATCAGAGACACGAGGCGAGGGAGAAAGGGTCTCTTGCTGCATCAGCTTCTGTCCAATGAGACATCCCTCACCCGCCTCCTCTTGCTCACAATTAGACATCACACGGGCAGGGGGGTTGGGCCCAACACAAGGGCAGGGGGATTGGGCCCCTCACAAGGACAGGGGGGCCCGAGCTCCCTGAAGAGACCCGCCCGCCCCACACTCCTGTCACATTTTCAAGTTTTTCTTGCAGAAACGGGGAGGAGAAATGTATTTTTTAAAGGAAAGCGGATCACCTGCCTTCAGCTTCTGGAGTGGCAAACCCTGAGACAGACAATAAAAATGCCAAGAATCGGCAATCTTGCCCGTTTCACTCTCCTCCTCCCATCGTGTTGAGACTGTGACCACGTCCTGTCACTGCTGGCACCGTACCGCCGCTCAGATCTGTCCTTTCCTCTCAAGCCCTCCATGGTAAACCCTGAGCCACGTCTCACTTTTGGCAGTCTGTCAGTCTTCCAACCTCCGCCACACAACCACTTACACCCTCCGCCACTTCGGAGTGTCTAAAATTAGCCCCAGAACGGGGGATCTTTTTTGGTGAATAACTGAGTTGCTAAAAAATGCAGTTTGACCCAAACTGTGCGCAAAGTCAGGTTGCATTTGGCAAATCCTTTCATCGACACATGGGGCAAGGAATACAAGCAAGTCACGTGGGTTTTGACTTTTCATTTCAGAACAAAATTTCGCTTCACAATTTAACTACCTTTAACTAACAACAACAAGGCCAACCCACCTCCCCTTCAAATGTCTCACTCGCCCCCAAACAATCAGACTCATAGACTTTAAGGTCAGAAGGGACCGTTATGATCATCTAGTCTGACCCCCTGCACAGTGCAGGCCACAGAATCTCACCCACCCCTCCTAGAATAATCCTCTCACTGCAGAAGAGGACCTGGGGATTACAGTGGATGAGAAGCTGGATACTAGTCAACAGTGTGCCCTTGTAGCCAAGATTAATGCCATATTGTGGAGCATTAGGAAGAGCATTGCCAGGAGATCTAGAGAAGTGATTATTCCCCTTTATTCGGCTCTGGTGAGGAGATATTGAAGCCTTCAAATACTTTGAAGGCCCCAAGATGCAGAGAATCCTCCAGCTGTGATCTGTACCCCATGCTACAGAGGAAGGCGAAAAACCTCCAGGGTCTCTGCCAATCTACCCTGGAGGAAAATTCCTTCCCGACCCCAAATATGGTGATCAGCTAAACCCTGAGCATGTGGGCAAGACTCACCAGCCAGACACATAGTAACTCCTATCATCCCTCCATTGACCTATTTCCCACTGATAATGAATGGTCAATTAGTTACCAAGATCATGTTATCTCATCAAACCATCCCCTTCATAAACCCATCTAGTTTAATCTTGAACCCAGATAGATCTTTTGCCCCCACTACTTCCCTTGGAAGGCCGTTCCAGAAACTCACTCCTCAATCGTTTGGGGGGGGGTTCTGTTTTGGGGGTGAGGAGCTGAAACATTCTAAACCTGAGATGAAATTTCCTTTCAGTTCAGCCACCAACCGAAAAGCCAATTCCTCCAGGCTTAGCGAAAAACCCACTTCCACCAGATCGGCATCCGTTCCCACCCTTGGTGGCATTCAGCGCATCTCCTGCCCTCATCCCACCTTGTAGTCACTGTCGTCTTCTCTCCTTTAACACTGCTCCTCACTGGACAAGGCCCTCCCCCTCTCTTTCTACCAATCCGCTTGGTTCTCCTCCTGCTAGGCCATGGACGTGTGCCATCCTGTGCCCAACTTGTCGGCATAAATTCTTTGCTGGTTTCCTGGGCATCACCTTCATCAAAGTGAGGCTGCACTAAGACGATCCCCTTTCCCCGTGATTTCTAAAGCCACCCAGACACTTACAGCTGGCGGGAAAAATTATGAGTGTGCAGGAAACACACACGTTACAGCGTTCTGTCTCCAACCCAAACCCACGGTCCCATTTTTCTCTCCACTCACCTCGGCCGGTGCTGTAGTGCTGTAATTTATCACTGTACACGGCCTCTTTGCTGTAAGCCCGCTTCCTGGAGAAAGGGGAGAAAAATGACTCAGATAATGTATAAGTGACTCACTGTTACCCAGACGATTTGGAGCATCTCTGAAAAAGAATGACACGATGAATTTACCTGCATATGCATGGGAAAATAACGCTTGCTACACACGCACTAGACAAAGGTGCACTGAGGCAGTCTAGCTCTGCACAGTCACACACAGACATACAAACAGGTGCCCACACTCCCATGGCTGTCTGCCGATATCTGGATACATGTCAGAGACTGGCAGCAAGGAGAGTCCACAGTGAGCGGAGCAAGAAAAGGCTGGAGACTACAAACCCACGTTTTCAAAAATACCGTTGAAGGGAATTCTCCGAGTAGGCGCCTTTAAATCCGTGGCGGCCTCCACGGCTCACGTTGGCTTGAATGGAACACGCTTCCCTTCCTGTCTCACCTCTCCCTTCTCATTGTGTTCCCAGAAAAACGCACTGAAAAATGGATCGCCCCGAGGATGGCCTGGTGTGATATTTGCCTGTGGCGGCGCTACGAGCATCTCGGTCATTTGTAAACTGCCTTGTGTGCGGTGTTCCCAGCACACTGAGCTGCCTTCTCCAGACAAGCGTATGGCGCGCACGTTCTCGCCCTTCACTCCTTGCCGATGCTGCCTACTTTGCACACCCCGCCTGCTGACAGTCCTGCCTCGCCTCTGGGCACTGACCAAGGGGATCGGTGCGGAGTCCCCTTTCTGAGCACTCCCGCCGCTGCTTGGCTGAGGGCTGGCCAGCAGGAGGCGCTGCAGCCAATGGTTGCTCATGGGAGGCCCTGCCTCTGCCCCTGGAGCACAGGGAGACTCTCCCTTCTCACTGCAAAGGGAAAGCGACCAACGGCAAAACCGGTACCTGCTGCAGACGATGGAAATAGCCACCAGCGAGACAATGAAGACCACGCCAGCAGCCGCAGACCCCGCGATCAAAGGCAGCTGCTCTCTCAGCTCCGACTTGTAGTCATCTGCAAGGGAGAAAGGCGTCTCACGCTCTCTGCTACCCACGCCGACCCGAGAGAGCCACGAACCAACCTCTCGGGGCCCTATTCCGCTAGCCTTCGGCAGAGAAGTACCTAAAATCTCAGCAGGGAGCCCCGTTAGTCTGCAACTTTGAAAACAACGAGTGGTCCTACAGCACCTTAGAGACTAACCAAAATAAATCTAGTAGCATGAGCTTGCGTGGGCAAAACCCACTTCCTCAGAGGAGCAGAGTGGAGGGGAAAGGAGGGACTCTTGCAATTTATAACAGAAAAAGAAGGGGGAAGGGGGAAGAACCTGTCCGTTGCAGAGCTGGAAATGAGGCTGCGTGGGCCGGAAGTGTCCCGTACTTAGCTTGGGAGGTTAATTGGGCGTGGGATGTAAGGGAAGTGGGTTTTATTATGGCCCATCCAGTTCAGGTCTTTGCTCAAGCCTGCTCTCTCTCTCTAGTTGGCTGCTGAAATTCCCTGGGAGAAGAATAGCTACGTTTAAATCCGTGACTGAGTGCCACTCATGACCCGGTAGCACGGCCACCGGCTGGTAAATGGCAGGTCGAGGGGAGCAGTGTCACGCGTGGCTCGTGGCGGGGAGAAAAACAGGGCAGACTCCTCTGCTGCTTGAGCAAACACGGCAGGTTTTTGAATCTTGTCAGAGGATGAAACACCTCCCCAACTTTTCCCTGCTCTTCCCCAGACATAAGAACACAAGAACGGCCAGACGGGGTCAGACCAAAGGTCTATCCAGCCCAGTGTCCTGTCTGCTGACAGTGGCCAATACCAGTGGCCCGAGAGGGAGGGATCACAACAGAGAATCCTCATGTGATCGCTCTCGTCACCCACCTACAGAGAAACAGAGGCCAGGGACACCGTCCTTACTCATCCTGGCTAATTGTTGATGGACCTAACCTCCACGAATCTATCTAGCTCTTTTGTGAACCCTGTTAAAATCCTAGCCTTCATTGCATCCTCTGGCAAGGAGTTCCACAGGTTGACCGTGCACTGAGTAAAGAAAAACTTCCTTTGGTTTGTTTTAAACCTGCTGCCTGTTCATTTCATTTGGTGACCCCTAGTTCTTATATTGTGGGAACAAGTAAATAACTTTTCTTTATTCACTTTTTCCACGCCCGTCCTAATTTTATAGTCCTCTTTCATTTCCCCCTTTAGTCTCCTCTTTTCTATGCTGAAAAGTCCCAGTGTTTTTATTCTCCTTTCACATGGGACCTATTCCAAACCCCTCATCATTTTTTGTTGCCCTTTTCTGAACCTTTTCCTATGCCAATAGATCTTTTTTGAGAGGAGGCAACCACATCTGTCCGTAGTATTCAGGATGTGAGCGTAGCATGGGTTTATATAGAGGCAACAAGATGTTTTCTGTCTTATTCTCAAGCTTTTCTTGAATGACTCCTAACATTCTATTTGCTTTTTTCACTGCCGCCGCTGCACACCGAGTGGATGTTTCCAAAGAACGACCCACAATGACTCCAAGATCTCTCTCCTGAGTACTTGTAGCCAAATTAGTCCCCATCATACTGTATGTAGAGTTGGGATTATTCTTCCAATGTGCAATACGTTACATTTATCCACAGGAAATTTCATTTCACTTAGTTTGGGGAGATCTTTTTGAAGCTCTTCACAGTCTGCTTTGGTTTTAACTATCCTGAGCAGTTCGGTATCGTCTGCAAATTTGGCCACCCCTTCCTTTGCTTACCCCTTCCTCTAGCTTGTTTATGAATAAGTTGAATAGGACGGGTCCCAGGACAGACCCCGTGGGGTCCAACCAGTCCAGAAGCAGCAGTCACTAGAGTGGCTACCGCGGTAGCCAACTAGCCGCACTCAGCCGGCCAAATAGCCACCCGTGGCAAGCGGCGAGCGTGGGGGACGCCGCAGCCCTAGACCGTCCTGAGGGCGCCGCCGTGCGGGGAGCCGTCCACCGAACGTGCAGCGGCAAAGGAATTAAAGTGAGGAGGGGGGGCTATGACCCCCAGAACCTCACCCCATCTCAAGGGGTGCGTCTCAGTTACAGTACAGCCTGTGTCAACGCCCATGGGCCGGCTTTCCGCCCTTTTGCACGGTGGGAGTCGTGTGCAGGGCCCTTCGCGGGCACAAGAACCAGCCTCCCACTCTTCACGTTGAGCCTGCCTACTGGCGCCTGCCTGCCTGGCGGGGAAGGGGCAGTTCACTGGAGGAGGACAGAGCTCTGAGACTCGGACACCTGGCGACTGAGCCGAACTCTGCCAGAACCCTGAGGCATAGCCGCCCCGTCTTTGCCCTCTCGCCCTTTCTCTCTCGCCTTTCGAGCCAGGCCTGGCTCCCTCTGTGTCTGGAGAGCATCCGGCCCGATGTGTGGTTCCTATGGCTGAACAAATTGTAATCATTCATTTCCCATACAGCAGGACCTGGGCCCCATGGCAAAGAGTTAAAGCAAAGGTCCTTCGAAAGGGGGCACTTCATGTTCCTTTCACTTTTTTGTCTTTTTCTCTGTTAATTGCCAGCCACCAGATTTATCTCCTGCCAGCTACTGAAATCCTGAGAAAGCCTCGTCTAACGATCAATGATGATTTCATAATCTGCAATATCCATTCTTATTCAATTTCAATTCATTGCTTAGTGGAGGCAGAGTGTTCGCCTCCCTTCACTAACCCTGAATACTCCAGACATTCATTTTTGATTTGCCTCCGTTCAGTCGTGCTGCGTGTTTCCTCTTGCTTAGGCTGCGCAAGGTTCGCCTTAGAGAAAAGCAAAGAACCAGCTGAGGGCTAGCTAAAGAGAAGGCAAACGAACTTTTCAGAGAGGGTGGGTCATTCTGTGAGCTAAGGCGCTTCATCCAATCTCAGGAGCTCTAGGTTCAATTCTTGACTCTCTCACAACCTCAGTGTGTGACCTTGGACAAGTCATTGAATCTCTCTGGATAAATCTCTCGCCGTGTGCCTGCCCTCGTGTTCTTTGGGGCCTACAGTTGCTATAGCAAAGCCCCAAAATAATTAAGATTTGCCACAGACAATCACGCACATTTTTCTGCCTTTGTCCATCTGGGCGGCAGTCAGAGGGGCCATATTTTTCTTTTAAAGCCGTCTGCGTCTTTGGACAATAAAGCGCCTTTTCCTGATCCATCTGTGGACATGGAGAAACACAACAGGGCCCTGAGTGGTCATCTGCTGCCGCTCCGATGCAAACTAATATGAGTGGGTGAGGATTTTCAGCAGCTCTGGTTGTCAGGTGTCCGGTAGTCACCCGGACAGTCTGGTATTTTCACCTCCTGTCCGGTAAAAAAAATTCAGAGAATACCGGACACCTGAGATGACCGGTACTCTCTGATTTTTTTCCCCAGCCAGCAGGCGAAAATGCTGGGCACCTGGCAACCCTACAAACACTCAGCGCCCGGCCTCTCCCCCATCCCCCGAGCCTCTCCCAGCCCCCAACACCCCAGCCCCCATGCTTATCTGGTCCCCAAGGCTGCTGCACAAAATGACTGCTGGCAAAAAGACCTAGGGGAAGAAATGCTTCCCCTGGGTCTTAGTGCTCAGCCGCTCCCCTGTTCCTATCTCTGCACTCACTCTTAAAGGGGACATGCTGTTTTAAATTTATTTTTTTTTAGCTTAATAAGTCCTTGGAGTCCTTTTTTTTTTGCTCAACAAGTTTGGCCCCCCCCCCCCCTTTTTTTCCCTTCAACAGAATTTTTTCCCAGTGTTTTCTTTTTGGGGGGGGGGGGGGGAAGTGTTCGGTATTTTTGTTTCAACCATTCGGCAACCCTATCAGCAGCGCTTAAGGGAGTTAGGCACCCCTCGGCCGTGATATTTCAGTGTTCTTTGGTACCTAATTCCCTTAAGCGCCTTTGAAAATCTTAGCTGCTGGGAATACATTTGTGCTCATGACTCAGCCTTTCCACTGTTCAGCTGGTGAGCACCCCTCTCGCTTGATTCAAACAGGCGCCATTTGGATTACACCCTGCCGGCCATGCCACACAAAGGCGCTGATTTAGGAGAGGAAGGGGATCTTTGTGCAGGTCTGGCAGCCAGGTCAGTTTCTCCTTTTTTCACCAGGGCCACGCCCGAAATAACAGAGACAGAGGAGAGAGAAAGGACCCGGGCCAGGAGGTGACAGAGCTCTGGAGTTTCTTCAAGAACTTCGGGCCTCGATTCTAACCCACGCGTACTCACAGCAGAAAACCTCACTCGCAAATTCCTCTCCACCACCCACCCACGTGGTTTCACTGCAGCCTTCTCTATAACTAGCAGCCGTCACGTGGCACTCGAGAAGTTCAAAGATAATAGTAAGAATGGACATTACAGACTCAATCCTGACCCAGTATACACAGATCCTGATCCATTGTCAAGAGCTCTGCTGTTTTCATTGGGGCTTAAATATTTTGCTGGAGCAGGGACAGAAAGCTCAGCCCCTGGCAAGACTGGGTCCTTCGCGTGGTATGCAAATGGGCTGGAAATGAGAGCGAACAGGCTGCCTTGGGAAATTCCAGGAATTCGAAGTTTCTGGACACGTCAGCCCACCACAAGAAAAGCCCTTCCCTTTGTCAATTTCAGCACTTCCCTCCAGGAATCCATGCTAGGATTCTTTTCAGGTTAATGGGCATTTTTTCTTGCTCAGCAAGAGACAAGCTGGAAGTGAAGGAATGGATCCAGCACTCTGGGGCCGCTGTGTAACGCTGGAGCAGGAACTAGCTCAGGGTAGGAACTCTGTGAATTGGGCCTTTTGGTACAATGTCCTGACCTGGAGAAAAGACCCTGATCTCCTCCCTTCACTGTCTGCTCTGAATTCTCGGGTAAAATGCTCTGAGATCTGGGGAAAGTTTCTTGGATGTTTTGAAGCAGTTTGTCCATCTCTTCGAGTGATTTACCGAATACGCAGCTAATACGCTGTTATACAGAGGAGGGAAGAGTCTACACCGAAAGGACAGCTTCCTTCTGATTTCTTCCTCTTAGTCTGTTCCGTGCTTCTTTTATGGATGTGACTCAGAGAAGTGCAATCGAAGGGATTGAAGAGCTGGAGGGTTGATTTGCAGGAGGGATGCGTAAAGAGCTAAAAGCGTAGAGTTCAGTGATTTGAACAACAGCCGAGAGAGGGACGTGATCTATACAAATCTGGAGGGGGAAGCGCCCCAGATGAAGTTGAGAGAGAGAGGAGAAGTTGTGGGATGAAACCAAAACCTGGAGGCTGAATACTGGGAAAATCTTCCAGTGAGTGAGGCTGTTAGTGCATGAAATCGTCTCTCAAAGGACAGAGCGGATGCTCCAGTGAGTGAGTGGTTAAAGCAGGATTAGATGCACCGGGCTAACTTGCCCTCTGCTTGGAGGCGGTAATACGGGCGCCAGGGATATGCGTCACTCCCCGGCCGGCCTGCGCAGCCAGCACTGAAGCTCCACCCCCCCACCTGTTTGTAGCCAGGCTGGCGTGGGGACGTCCGGTCTGCCCTCCGACCGCGGCACAGACATCCCCGACGTGGAAGTGTAGGCAACCACCCCTCACTGGCCAGGAGCGGGACGAGTGCAGCTGACCGGACTCGCATGTGATTCTGTGGCCCCAGTCACCCCCCCCACACCATGTCTGTGCGTGTCCCCCATACAGCCCACACCTTCCGGGCCAGAACTGGCTCTTAGCTTGCGGAAAGAGGCCCAGGGTCGGGAAGGGGTTAACGTTCACCTCCGCCCCTGGCAGGCATGCAAATAGCCCGAGCGCCTGCAGTTCCATGGCGGAGGAGAAACCAGAGAGAAGAGATTTAAAACAGATTACTCCTCCAGCTGGCAATTAATCAAACATCACTATAAATCACCTGGCTCTTGCCACACTGGCCCTCTGGGAGCGGGGGCTTGGAGAGACAGGTTTATTTAATCCAATTACCGCTAGCGCGGCAAGTGCCGCCTCTCCCTCTCGCCCGCTCCTCTCGCCACACGCTTACCATCTGTCAGCGTTTGGAAGCACATTTTCCCGCTGTACTTCCCGTAGCCAGCCACGGTGCGGGCCCGCACCTGCACTACGTACACCATGCCGGGCCGCAGGCCCTCGATCCTGGCCGTGTTGGTCTGGCTCTTGGCCATGGAGGAATTGTACTCGCTGTGGTCCTGCGGGGAAGAGCAAGGAAGGGGGGTGCCCCATCTCAGGGAGGGGACGGCAACGCAGCCTCGCGAGCCGGGAGTTCCCCACAGCCGCCCCGGAGTCCTACTCCAGCGGAGGGGACTCCTGGGCCCACTCCAAGCATCGTGAAAGGCAGAAGGGATGCACATGGCGGTGCTGTCATAGAATCCTAGAACCCCAGGGCTGGAAGAGACCTCAGGAGTCAAGTCCAGCCCCCTGCCCAAGGCAGGACCAACCCAACTGTCCTGAACCGAGTGTGAGCCTGCAATTATTCTTCTGTGAATCCAGAGCTGTCGCTGGACACACTGCACATGGGAGTGGCCCTGCCACCCTGCCAGGTCCCAGCTGTCTCCACCAGGCACAGCGAGACAATGAGGTGGCCTTTCCTTCCTCTCAATGCCACTGCAGTGCGCACCCCGCTGCCTACAGTCTGACCGGAGTCTAAAAAAAGGCCAGAGGTCCTAGATCAGGGTGGGCAAATACTGGTGTGCGGGCTGGATCCAGTCCACCAGGGTTAGCAGGTACCGGTGAGCACAGCTCCTATTGGCCGCAGAGTGCCACACCAGCCCAATGGGAGCTGCAGGAAATGGAGTCCCAGTCTGCGCCGCTTCCATTGGCCGGGAAAAGGAATCCGCAGGCAATGGGAGCTGCGAGCGCTGGTACCTGTAGCCCTGCAGCGGCCCACCGGGGGCTAAGCTTGGCAAACCGCTGCTGTGTTATCGCCGACCCCTGCTCCAGAGCAAGTCTGTGGCTTGAATGACACAACTGTCTATGTGCGTGCACAGCGCCTAGCCCAAGCCAGCCCTGGCCTCGGCTGAGGTCTCCGAGCACTACCACGCCACACCCGTGAATGGGATTGCCACCCCAGGAGACCTGAGTTCCAATCCCGGAGCCGGTCGCTAAGGGACAGTGGGTTGCAGTGTCTTCCCCATGCCCTGCGTGTCCACGTCACAGCAGGGGTACCCAGGGCAGCAGGAAGCTGCGGGGCAGAAAGGAAGTGCAGACGATGGAGTTGAGCCGTGCAGGGCTGGGAGGGCAGGCGCGGAGCGGGGTGCAGCCAAGGAATGGGTGTGGGAAGAAACCTGACCAGCCCTGCTGTGCCCTTCAGGCCCGGCCCTGACAGGAGGTATTACTCCCTCCCCTTAAAAACACTCGCACACGTGCGCCACCCTGTCCGGCATGCCAGGCTTTGTCCAGACGCACGTTCTAACTCAGGGCGATTGAGTGCTCGGCCAAGGCTGCGCCTGGACCAGGAGGAGACGTTCTGGCCTGGATCAAAGGCCGGTGGGGTGTCCGGACTGCGGCTGTCTCACAAGACTTGAGTGCGTTCATGTTGAGTTACCTCAGCGTGGCCAAAACGTCTAGTCTTGGCTCCTTGTACCCACCTCCCACACCCAACTTCCCTGCTAGGCCTGGGTGTTACCTCCCAGGAGTGCACCTAACCCAAGGACCTGACCCCAACCCTACTCTAGTCCATGGGTCTCTCTATGCCGAGTGCTGGCTCAGACCCACAGTAACAGCCCCCCGCAAGGAAAACCCTCCAGAACAGCTCCAGAGCCATGAGTGTCCCCTTCTCCCTCCCTTCCCCAATCCCCCGGCTTTCATGCAGGCTTACGGTGGCTGGTCGCAAGCCGGCTGCGCCGCTGATCTCGGGGTGGCAGATCCGGCTCACCTTCTCGTAGTAACGCAGCTCGTAGTCCAGGATGATGCCGTTGGGCTGCTCTGGCTGGGGCCACGACAGCGTGATGCTCCTCATGGTGGCACTTACCTGGTGCATGATGGGAACAGTGGAGGGAGCTGTGGAGAAAGGCAGGGAGGGGGAAGGCGAGAGACGAGAAAATTAACTCAGGGGAGGGAGGGAGGGAAACAGCGCGTTCCGAGGGGGGTGCGGGTGACAGGCCCGAGAGCCGTCCTGGGGTGCGGGGGAGAGAACAGAACGGGGAGAAAGGAGCAAACGGCGGGGGGGGGGGGGAAGCAGAAAGAGACATTAGACAGCGTGAGAACATGAGAACGGCCGTATGGGTCAGAGCCATCCAGCCCACTAGCTTGTCGCGCACTGTGGGGCCAAACTCCTCAGAGAGCATTTCAAGGGATCCCCTTCCTCCGGTCCCAGCTAATCTTTGCTCTCAACCTGCTGCCTAGGAGCGATAGGACTTGTTGCCCCCACACCGCCTCTTCCAAGGGAGCAAGCGGAAATGAAAGCAGACAACACAGAGAATGAACCGGAAAGGACGGACTCTAACCAGAGAGGCGTTCGGGCGGCAGCGGTAGCGAAGGGGATACACCGGGGTAGAAAGCAGCATCCGACAGGGAGAGGAAGGCAGATTCAGCGCGTGGGAAGCCCTCTTGTGCTGTGATGTTTTAACAGCGAGCTCCCCCCAAAATGCATCCCATTGCCCGGCCTGGCCTGGCCTCCTGGGCTGCAGGCAGCAGGAGTGGGGTGTGTATTTCCCTAACAAACAGTTTGCAACTCCCGGCCACCTGGGGCAGCGGGCCCATGCCAGAGGTGGGGCATTTGCTCTGCAGCCACGTCTTAGCGTCCCAAACCCCAACCCCGTTGCGGTGTCAGCAAGAGGCACCCCCGCCGACTGGCTCTTTGAAAAGCACCGTGGCACGAACGCACCTGGCAGGAGAGCCGGGTGCCAATCCAACCGGCTGAATATTGAAATGGATAATTATTTTTAATTAGCGATTTCGAATTCCGAGCACTCGGTCTCCCCGGGAACAGTCAATAACTCATCAGCGAACGGAACATGGCTCCCTGGGACGGAGGCTGGAGCTGCCCCGTCTGAACCGCCGGCTGTCGGGTGGGATTGGTAGCGGTTTGCCTGGGCAGCGGGGCTCTGGGCCATCGCTAAGGCCATGGGGGCTCTTGTGATACACGTAAATAACAACACCACGCTTGGGCTGGACGCTATTTCCACTGAACTACGTCTCCAGGCCGCTACATCCCCCAGTAAGGTTCCAGGGTCTACCTGAGCGCCCCGAGCAAGGCGTAGCAGGGCCGGCCTTAGGGGTGGGCATTGTGGGCGACTCCCCCATGGTACTGTGGTCGGGGGGGCACAGCTTGTGTGTGTGTGTGTTGTGTACTCAGACACACGTCGCTGGGTCAGCCCCTATGGGGCTCTTGGTACTTCTCACCCCCTCACAGCAAGGGACCAGCACAAAGGCGCCTGATCCGCTCCCCCAGCCTGTCCTTCCACGACATCCACACCACCGACGGGGACCAGAGACCGAGACCACAGGCTCCAAACAAACACTGGGCCCCACGGACCAGCGACCACAGGCCCAGCACTGCAAGCCTTGGGCAGATGTGGAATGTGTCCCTCAGAAGAGGCCGTGAGCTACCACAGACGTCACACAGTGCCTAGGGCCCAGACGAACACTCCTCCACCTCCGAATTTTTAGCACTTACAGAAGGTAAAAGGAGCTACCAAGATCCCAGAGGCCCCATTTGACAGCTCTGTCGGGCTATGGACCAGCCGTCCGACTGAGCTGCTTTGCAGAGGCGTGTTAGCGATCACCTCCTGGCTCGGGGCTAGCCTGGCTGATGGGGGCAAAAGGAAAAAGAGGAAAGGCCGCGCCTGGTGCCACACAGCAGAGGCAGCCACTTACAGAAGGTAAAAGGAGCTACCAAGATCCCAGAGGCCCCATTTGACAGCTCTGTCGGGCTATGGACCAGCCGTCCGACTGAGCTGCTTTGCAGAGGCGTGTTAGCGATCACCTCCTGGCTCGGGGCTAGCCTGGCTGATGGGGGCAAAAGGAAAAAGAGGAAAGGCCGCGCCTGGTGCCACACAGCAGAGGCAGCTCTCCCTCCTGAATAGCTCCCCACGCACTCAGGGGGGAGAGCAATCC